TATACATTTTAACAGACTAACTGTACAGTCAATGAATGTCGAATGTTTTGTCTATGGAAACGGCTATTCTCACCATTATTGTTCAGACTGGTCTACAAGATCATTTTGCTGTTGCATGACCTTTGATTTTCAAGATGGTTCTACGGTAGTTCCATATGACCAATTTTCTATCTGTAAATCGATTATTTATTCTGCGACAACGGTAATAGTGGAGATTTTCGAAAACAGACAATATTCTTCATATTTTCTCAGTTTTATTTTAAAGTTCCTTTTATTCGATTGGAATATTCTTAATTTGTTATACCTGAAATCTTTAAATTAAGTGTCATTTTTCAATCTGTTGTTCTTTTCAAGTTGAACATTGCAGATGTGTCAGAACTTCTTGTTCTCTATTTCTTTGAGATTCAAGTTCCGTTTCAAAACATCTGAAGCCAAAGTGATACAGTTCAATTTAAGTATTTTTTTACGATCTCATGTTCATTCCTGACCTCACGTAGAGCTCTTGTAAAGACGCTAGTTATATCGCTCCAGGGAGTATCTGGCACCTTCTGCCATTCTGTTACAAGAATCAGATTAGTCAAAAATAGTGAATTCCTGTAATATCTGGGCTGAAGCTTCTCCATTCTCACGTTTCAGTCTTGATAAGACTTCAAAAATTTCTTACGCGTTTTTTTTCCACTGAACGAGCCTGATCTCAAATTCAGTCACATTTTCATCGACCTGACTTCTGTCTATCTTTTCTACAAATATTTTCCTAGTAACTGTTCTGATGAGTTTTTTTTTTCCCATGAGTCTCGACTACATGAATTAAAGCGCGTTACTAGATTGGCTGTTAGGTCTCACTGTTTTACTATTGAACTACCTCGATGCAACCGGCACATCTACTTTAGCAGTTTCTATACTCGCACTTCTCACTTGTGGAACTCCCTTCAGATATCTTGTTTCCCTGATAACTACAACCTCCAAAAATGTAAACGCAATGTCAATCGCCATCTTCTGTCTTCTTGAACCCTTTTCATTTATTGTACTTTCCTCCGCCCTCATTTAATTGTTCTCTTTTTCTCCCACTCCCATTGCGTTTTAGTGACATCATTGCCTTACTTTGAATGAAGCGATTAATGAGCAAAATAAATTCACAAGCCCATCGTTACTCTATCGCCACTGTACAGAAAATGTACAGATGAGCACCATTCTTTAGTTGACCCCAGTTCAGATCTTTAGACGTCCTGGGTATAACGCTAAACTATATCCAGCAGCAAAGACACTGATCATGAGATTTTGGGGAAAGTGAAATCATCTCTTAATTGCTATTGCTCACAGGTCCAAACTGACCCGGGGTGGTAGCACCTGTTAGGGTCCCAATTATGGGCAAATGGTTAACCCCCAAAATAGGGTCAAAGCACTATGAAAATATAAAAATATATTTTATAGTAAAAATACCAACAATACATTTTTGAAAAAAATAAACTTACCAGCTATACATTTAAAAAAAATAATAATAAAATTACCAGTAACAGATTTGACTCTCGACAAAAACCCTCTTTACAAAAATACAACAATGAAACCTGATCTATAAACTGATTTCTTACAACGAATACAATTTCTGTTCATATGAACTTAACCTAAAAAAACAAAATAAACCAAACGAAATCTGATATGTCCCGGAAAGGGATATATTTGTTCGAAGTAGCAAAGTGGATGTTCGCTACTGTAACCGGGTAGGACAATCTAGAAGGTAACCGTAATCGACTGGTCCTCGTCGTAGTGGTAGGCAATAGGCGTAGCCAATAGGCGTCCTCCTGAACCTCCACATCAGTCTGTAATTATGACTGACACCAGCCAATCATATTACTGTGAGGGGGAACCCAGGTGTATGCGTATTCATTGCCTCAAAATCAAACCAGACTTTTACAGCTTAGACACAACATAGTGCTTGCACATAACTGAATCACTCTCATTTACTTCATATTCCATTTTAAGGAGAAAGTACTACTAAGACTGCTTTGTCCCAAGAACTGCCACTCTGTGGAATAAACTCCCACGTAGATGCCTCTCTGAATATAGGTTATATGCAATGATTTCATTGAATCAACTGTTAGGTCTGTTGCTAGAAATGTTGGTGTATTATGTACACTATTGTGCTCGACATTTTTTTCTTCTCGCTAGAATCAATCTTGCACGTTTATAACTCTACCATTCGTACAATGAAAAGCGATGTCACATTTGTTTTGGTGCTTTTATTATAAAGTCTCGTTGCAATCCAAAATCAGCCTCTGTAATGTTATTGATTCTGGCCTGCAATCTCCATATCACTCATTTCCCCAAAGCCGTGACGAGGCTTTCCTGTGAGAACAATTGCCATTATGAACCTCATTTTGACTCCTATGTAAATCGATGGCATGAATTTAGACCTAGTACTTGACAGGTGACTAATTCTCGTTGTTTTACTCTTCTGTTCTATTCTAATAGTTTTCTTACTTGCACTTCTTACCCGTGGAACTCTCTTCTGGTTTATTGCTGTCCTGTTCATCTCGAAACATTTAAATGCAACGTCAATCACTATCATCTGGCTTCAGGAAACCTGTTCTTTTCTCATCCCTAATTTATCTTCAAACTCTTTCATTCTCAGTAACCCGTTGTGCTACAGTGGCATTATTGTCTTGTTCGGGGAGAAATGATTTAAAAAATGTTATGTTATTTCCGTTTTTCATCACGATCAAAACGGAATAGTTGATTATTTATGAGGAATTTGCAGAGTTTATCTTAGAGGCTAACGGACTAAAGTAAAAAACAGAATTCCACTAAAGTGTCAGTCTATATTTATGAGATGAGGTATTATGTACACTATTTACATTATTAGGACTATTGTCCTCATCTTTGTTGCCATATTTATTACGTTTCGGCCATTCAGTATCTGTCTATATTTCTGAGATGAGGTATTATGTACACTATTTACATTATTCGGACTATTGTCCTCATCTTTGTCGCCATATTTATTACAACGTTTCGGCCTTTCAGTATCTGTCTATATTTCTGAGATGAGGTATTATGTACACTATTTACATTATTCGGACTATTGTCCTCATCTTTGTCGCCATATTTATTACAAAGTTTCGGCCTTTCAGTATCTGTCTATATTTCTGAGATGAGGTATTATGTACACTATTTACATTATTAGGACTATTGTCCTCATCTGTGTTGCCATATTTATTACGTTTCGGCCATTCAGTATCTGTCTATATTTCTGAGATGAGGTATTATGTACACTATTTACATTATTCGGACTATTGTCCTCATCTTTGTCGCCATATTTATTACAAAGTTTCGGCCTTTCAGTATCTGTCTATATTTCTGAGATGAGGTATTATGTACACTATTTACATTATTAGGACTATTGTCCTCATCTGTGTTATATATATTTATTACGTTTCGGCCATTCAGTATCTGTCTATATTTCTGAGATGAGGTATTATGTACACTATTTACATTATTCGGACTATTGTCCTCATCTTTGTTGCCATATTTATTACAATGTTTCGGCCTTTCAGTATCTGTCTATATTTCTGAGATGAGGTATTATGTACACTATTTACATTATTCGGACTATTGTCCTCATCTTTGTCGCCATATTTATTACAAAGTTTCGGCCTTTCAGTATCTGTCTATATTTCTGAGATGAGGTATTATGTACACTATTTACATTATTAGGACTATTGTCCTCATCTGTGTTGCCATATTTATTACGTTTCGGCCATTCAGTATCTGTCTATATTTCTGAGATGAGGTATTATGTACACTATTTACATTATTCGGACTATTGTCCTCATCTTTGTCGCCATATTTATTACAACGTTTCGGCCGTTGTACGCTCCGGCATCTTCATATGATTGGAATGTCGAACTAAACACTTTATTTCGCTTGTTGGGGTAGGCTGTTCTGGTGTCCTCAATGACACATGGCACAGTGGATAAAGGCGTTGTTTAGATCCCAATGAGTTCTGTGTTCAATGCCTGGTTAAGGCAGCGGAGAACTTGTAGAGGGGAATTAACAAAAGATAACTGATAACTGATATCCATTAGACATGGCACGTGGAAGCAGATCAGTCTACCCCAGCGAGCGAAATAAAGGGTTTAGTTCGACATTCCAAACACCTGAAGAAGGCTGGAGCGTACAACGGCCAAAACCTTGTAATAAATATGGCTACAAAGATGAGGAAAATAGTCCGAATAATGTAAATAGTATACACTATGCTATGTAGTGTTTTGGAAAGTTAGTGTGTATTTATCTTGTATAATCAAATATTTTTTTCCAAGCAATATAATAAATATTTGTAATGACGTTAAATAAGATCAAATAAAAGGTTTCGTTACTACATTTTTTTTTGCATTTCTTTTTTAATTTCGTTTTCTTTGGTCGCATTTAGCAGAGACTAAATCCAGTTAAATAACATATCTGCTGAGATCTTCACATCAGCGCACGATTCGAACGGAGGTTTTATAGTCGCCTCATGGCCGCGAGCTATTCGTCACAGTGAAAGCAAATGCTCAAAGCGTTTGATTTGCTCACGCCGAAATTGGTTCGTACGTTCGACTTCTGAACCGTTTCAATTCGTATTGCGTTCAGAACGGCTGGGAAGAGCTGGCATGATTGGGATTTGCTAACTCTCATCGGATTCCCAATTCCATATTCTCTTATATCTTCAGCGTGTTCATCTCTTGGCGATTTATTTATTTATTTAGTTCTTTCTATTTTCTTTCATTTTCATTCCTTTTCTATATTTATTTTCGTTAAATTTCTTTTAGTCTTTCTATATTTTTAAATCGTAAACATGTATATTATTTTCATTTTTTCTTTCTCTATTTTTCCTTTTTTAATTTTACATGCAGTCATTTACAATACTGTCTTTTTTAACATTTCTTTTTTTCATTCTTTCTTTATAAAATCATTCTTTCTTTTTTTCTGTAGTTCATATTTTAATTTACAAATATTTCTTTCTTTAGTCATTTATCTTTAATCTTATTTATGCTTTCATTCTCATCTTTCATTCTTTCTTTCTTTTCTTCCTTTTATTTTCTTTTTGTTTTCTTTCTTTTTTGACTTCATTTCTTTCTTCTGCCTCTATTTTTCTTTCTTTTTTCTCTTTCGTTATTCATCCTACTTCATATTGCCTTCTTCGTGTCATCATGCCGATATGTTTTTTTCTATTTTTTGCTTTCGCTTTTTGAAGAAAAAAGTAGAGAAGAAAAATGACTGAGAATGAGAAAAAAAAGAGAAGAAACATCATTCGGAATGAGGAAAAGAAGTAGACGAGAAAAATAATTCAGAATGAGAAAAAAGAAGAAAAATAATTCAGAATTAGAAAAAAGAAGAAAAGAAAAAAAATAATTCAGAATGAGGAAAAAGAAAAAAAGAAAAATGCCTCAGAATGAGAAAAAAGAAGAAGAGAAGAAAAATGTCTCCGAACGAGAAAAAAAAGAAGGACTAAGAATGAGACAAAAGGAAAGAAAAATGCCTGAGAATGCGAAAAAAAGATTTTCAACAGCAGCAATAACAGGTATTGGTAGCACATGTAACTCGAAGTAAATAAAAGAATATACGTTATGTTGACGTTCCGAAAAAGATTTGCAAAGAAAATCCCATCACTTCTGGAAAGAACGATAACAGTAGAGATTAATTTCCTGAGAAACTGCTTTCATAAAATATATATATATATATTATAAATTTTAACCGACAATAACACTAACTTTTCTGTCAGTGTGTGCTGAATGTTTCCAGTATAGCAACGTTTAATTTCACCATTACGAATATCAATAAAGAGCGACGCTAGAAGAAAAACTACTGTAGACTGTGTGTTTATAAATATTAGAGCCTCAATCACCGAATGTGGCAAATTAGCCCCATCAGAAAACAGATGACTGGATAGAAAAGTATATCCACTGAGCACAATGAAACGGCTGTATCTTGGTAACACTTACAAATGGCATATTTACACAGACTAAAATATATCAGTGATGGTGGACTCTCCCGTCGTATTCGACGTATGGGGGTCAAGCAACTCAGTTCCTAGGAACCGACAACCCAGACACCAACACATATGATTTGATTATAGTGGTGAAGGCTTTGTGCAGAGCCAACCATACGAATAAGACCCGAATACAGAGACCTGGTGTGTTATGTGCCACCTCCACACGTTTCAGAGTTGTCCATCTCTAAGACAAGTTGCCATCCAACGCTATAGAACCCAGGTTATCCTGCTATTTACCAATACCTGGAGGTAGGAGAAAGTTAATACGTTTCCTAAGGTTATTATCTTGTAAGTGAATGTAATGTATTCGACAGGAATTTGAACTAGGTTTTCTGATTCCTTAACCCGAGTCACTATCCACTACTCCTATGAGAAGGAAACACATATATCAGCTCGGACTTTGATATTTAACTGGGCAAAAGAAGCCATGTCTATGGACAAGATCGTGTCTGGGAGTAATTGCAAATGTCATTGAAATTAGCTTTTCCTTAAATTTTATATCTGATAACTGGAGACCACCTCTACATTAATTTCTTCTTCTTCTATATGCTGCATCCCTTCAAAACGGTGACGATCGTGGCTCTCCATAATTTCCTATCCTTTGTAGCTTTTAATAACTGCTGCCTTTTCGTCATCTCTCCCAAATCCGGTTCCGTCATTTATTCACTCAAGCTTCACAGGTAGGTTATGAGTTGTTTTTCTCTGCCTCTCTTACCTTCAATCGATCTTGTGAATATCAAATTTTCCAAGCCCTCTTTTCTCACTATATCCCTTAGCAATGCCAGTTGTCTCTTCCTGGTGTTAACTATAGGTGCCTTTTTGTTGTCATTGCCTCTAGAATTTCGCCGTTGTTTACATGTTCAGTCCATGGTATTCCCGGCATCTTTCGGCAGGACTACCTTCTGCTGCTTCGAGTCTCTTCTTCATTTGTGAGGAGATTGTCCCGCATTCACTGACATATACGAGGACTGATACTATATAACAGTTTCCTTACTTCTTTCTTTGTATGTAATGACATTTTTCTGTTTCTTAATACATTGCTTAGCTTTTGGTAGGCATCTTTCACTCACTGAAACCGCCTTTGAATTTCCGTGTGACACTTTCCATGTTCTATTAATACGTTTCCTAGATATCTAAATTGTTGCACCTGTTTGATTTCGGTATATCCATTCTGTAATTTGATTTCAGTTTTCTTGCATTTGGTGTTCACCCCTTTCTTTTCGCTTTCCTTCACTACCTTCTGCATTAGCTCTTGTAGTTTCCTTTCTGTCTGCATATCGTATGTTGTTAAGATTGTTGCAACCAATAATGAATCCATGTTGGATTTTTAATTCTCTCAGAATCGCCACACTAGATAGGTTGAATAAGCCGATGAAAAGACACGTCCTTGTCTCATAGTACTCTTTATTTTTGTATATTTACTGAACTCATTTTCCTACCCGAATGCAGGCAGTATATGTTCTGGATTATTCTAATATCTTTTCCATATGTGTCAAGAAAGTGCAACCATGGTGTGCTTGATCTCAATTCGCGGCACAAGATTCCATTTACTCATTTTGCGCCAACAATATAAAAAGAACACCTACGACTTACTCTACTGCTCGATAACGAATGAATCATCTAGTCTGTCTGTCAAGAAAGTGGAATCTGAGAGGAGATGCTCAGGTAGAACTATTGATCTGACTCTATAGAGCAGCAATATACTGCGGCCAAAGTGGAAATTAAATTATACCTCTCTATGAAGCTGTTACTGGAGACGACTAACACACTAGAACACTAAAATAAAAAGAAAAAAGAAAAAATACTGAAGGATATCGGAACTTTGGGAGTGAACTCAAAATAATAGACCATGAACGTGGCGGTACTGATATGTTTGGTTTGGTTGGGTTTGTTTTACGGCATATCAACCTCAATAGGTTATTCAATGCCGACAATATCTATCTATCTATCTAGCTATCTATCTAAGTATAAATTGGTTTGGTTTCTTTTGTTTTATGGCATATCAACCCCAATGGGTTATTTAAACCGACAAGATTTTTATTGCTGGTTCTCTCTATCTATCTAACTATCTATCTATCTATCTATCTATCTATCTATCTATCTGTTTGGTCTGTTTTGGTTTTACAGCATATCAACCTCCATGGGTTTTTTAATGCCGACAAGATTTTTATTGCTGGTTATATTTTCTTTCTTGGGCACCTCAGCGTGTTGTAATGGTTAGCAGGCTTGTCTCGCTAGATCAATTACAACTGAAAAGTGAGTTCGATCCTCAGTAGGTGTCCCATACATTCAGCCTTGTGCCACATCTAAGCTACGCTTAGAAAATAACTAAATTTTCTTTCTTTCTAAGTATATATTGGTTTCGTTTGTCTTATTTTACGGTATATCAACCTCAGTGGCTTATTTGATGTCGACATGATTTTTATTGCTGGTAATATTTTTTTTCCAAAATATATAATGCTGGTAATATTTTTGCTTCAAAAATGTAATGCTGGTAATAAATTTACAAAAATATATTGCTGGTAATAAAACCTATTTTTAAACTTTCATAGTATTTTGACCCCAGTTTGTGGGTTAACTATTTGTCCATAGCTGGGACCCTAACAGGTGCTACCACCTCGGGTCAAGTTAGACCTGGGAACACCAGCAATTAAGAGATGATTACACGCTCCTCAAAACCTCCTGATCAGAAACCTTGCTGCTGGATGTAGTTTATCGTCATACCCAGGACGGCATATGTTTGGAACAGTTGTGAAAAAGACTTAAAAAAATGGTTTCGAAGAAATGAAAATCTGAAGAAAAGATATAAACTTTAGAATCAAATTGAATACTGAGGAAGAATTAGGGTTTATAACAATTAAATATTGCTGTTTCTTGATCTCTAGTGTAATATAACTCTGATTATACAGGGTGTTTCAAAAAATTTGATATCATTTCGCAATCTAATAACTTTGTTAGATCTCCTTCAAATGACTTCAAATTTTAATAGCATCTTTATGTTTGATGTTTGTTTTATGTTTTTATGTCTTTATGTTTTTGTGTTTTTCTTATTTGTATTTTTATGTTCTTTAATCTTTAATCTTTTTCTTTACAGGTATAAAACTGCTATTTACTAGAAGAGAAAAGGCGTTTTGTGTGTTGGAGTTTGCTAGAACACAGTCAAACAAGACTGTGCAGCGTGCATTTATGAGAGAGTTCTCTAGAAAGTCACCAACAGGAATGCAGATTTGGAGATGGCATAAAAAAGTTCAAAGAGGAAGGCTGTCTGTGCAGAGCAAAAGGATCCGGACGACCACAAACTTCACATTTGTGAAATCGTTCACATAATCCACATGCTTTTGAATTTCTCATTCAGATTTGGAAGAATAAATCTTATGATCTTCAACATTAATACTTTTTAATTTCATTTGCCTTAATCATGTACTTTCTGTGATATTTACATCTCAAAGGATATCAAATTTTTTGAAACACCCTGTATTATTTAAACTCATTTAATAACATGAAATGTATTATGAATAATGTTTAGTTATCATTATTTCTTATCAAAACTGGCTGGATATCTCATCATTTATAGTTTTTTTCTTGTTGAATGAAAGTTACAGTAAATATTCCGTTCACTACCACATATCTGCCTATTTTGACGGAGGACGGTAAGTGCGACGCTGAGATCCGAAGACGTACTGAGATGGCCAAAGTCGCATTCCTAAAGCTGGGCATTGCGTGACAGGACCATTTCTTTGGCACCAAAGAAACGAGTACTGAGATGTTAAGTGACATCTGTCCTCCTTTACGGCTGCGAATGTTGGACGATCTCCTCAAAGATGAAGAATAGGCATCGGAAGTATAGTTCTACAGAAGGAAGCTAAGGATAACATGGACTGAGCGTGTGAGCAACGATGAGGTTTTGGAAAGGATGCAAACAAGGAGGAAGCTTATATTTAACATCAGGAAGAGGCAGCTGAAATTTCTTGGAGACGTAATGAGAAAGGAGGTGACAGAAAGTTGTCTGGGGAGGAGGTAGCAGAGATACGAAACTTATTGGGAGGTACAACAGAGAAGGAGAAGTGGAGAGCCATGATCGTCTACGTCCTGAAGGGACACGGCACATAAAGGTAGAATAGAGAAAATGAGAGACAGGGGAAGGCAACGAATGACGTACCTAGCGGGCTTAAGCAAGTGGATGACAGAACGTGGTCTGGGGGGGGGAGGTGGCAGAGTGACGAAACCTATTGAGAGCTACAAGTGATAGGGGGAAGTGGGGAGTCATAATCACCCACGCCCTGAAGGGACACGGCATAAAAAGGAAAAGTGCAATATAACTGATTAATTATTTAAACTCATTTAACATTACTAAATATATTATTTTAAGACATTTTTTTATATTTATACATTCTTTTTATAGATACAAATATTCAAGTAAATGCCTTGTTTATAATAAACAACATTTACCGGCCTGAATGGCCGAGAAATTTTCATAGAAAATATTCGTCCTTTGACAGGATTCGAACCTGCATCCTATACGCGGACGTGCCTTAACCGACTCGGCCACAAAGGAGCGTTCGGTAGGCAAGGTCGAATTTACTGCTTATAAACTTCAATCTTCCATGAATCTCGTACATTCATATCTGCTCATGGCGTATCAAATGTAAACAAATGACGTCATATATTAAGAAATGGACAAAGTCCGACAATTTATTTATTAAAGCGATTTTTATGTTTAACGTTCTTTTTATAGATACAAATATTCAAGTAAATGCTTTGTTTATAATAAACAGCATTAAACAACATTTACCGGCCTGAATACGGAACCGTCATATAGCCTGACGTGCCTTTAACCGATTTTGCCATAGAGGAGCGTTCGGTTAGCAAGGTCGATTTTACGTTTTTTTTTTTTTTGATATGCAGAGTGTTTACTTAAATATTTGTATCTATAAAAACAGAATGTATAAAGATGAAATAAGTAATTGTCGGACTCTGTCCACTTCATAATGTATAAATATAATATGTATAAGATTTAGTTATCATTGCTTCATATAGAAATTCGCTAGATATCTTATCATTTACAGGTTTTTCTTGTCGAATTAAAGTTACAGTAAAAATCCCTTTCCTTACTCCATATTTCCTTACAATTTGCCTAACCAGTTAAATATGCCCACCGCCCTCGCACTAGAGCCTGGCGCACAGTGTCTTTCCGCTAATGACCGGGAACATCATAGCCATGGGTTGATATGCTTTTTATAGTTTGAAAGATGAGGCAGGCTATGTGGCTTGGCTATGAATATCTACATACAACTTCAGGTAGAGATGTGTCAGCGGACTGTCACGATATGGTAAATACTTGACTGTGATGCATCTGTTTGGTCAGCTGTTATCTGACTGGCTATCCTGATAGGTACACCCGACTTCGTATATATTTTATTATTTTGTGAGTGAATAATACGCTAACAAAATGGAGCGGATCGTCTGTTCACGTATCAATGATTTTTAACACCGCTTTGTTCATTCATCCTTACGGACATCAACGATTCTACTTCAGTTTTCTCGCAATTGACTCCATTTCTTGTCTATATTTCTATTGTAACTCTTTAAACCAACTCTATCATTAACTATTTACACGTATATTTCAGCCATTTTTTTTTCTTTTGGATTATATGCCTCCATTTTTTGTTTGTTTTGGGTAAAGCTTCTGTATTCGTTTTTGTTTTAATTTATTTCTCTTTCTTTCTCCTTCTTTCTTTTGACTTCGGTGTCTTTGTCCTTTTTTTCTTGCTTTTATTTCTTTTTTTTATCCGGAAACATCCGGAAGAGGCATGGCACGTGGAACACGAACGATCTACCCTGTTGTGCAAAATAAAAGGTTCAGTTCAAAATTCCAATCAACGGAAGAAGGCCGGCGCGCACAACGGCCGAAATGTCATGAATTGGACAATAAAGATGAGGACAACAGTTGGAACAATGTACATAATGTAAATTAATTTTTCTCGTTTTTTATTTATTTGTCTACGTTTTATTTCAACTTGTCTTTCTTCTTTTTCTTCTTTCTTCTTTATTATTTTTCTATCGTTATCTTCATTCTCGCTTTTTTTTATTTTCTTCTTCGTTTCTTTTTTTTTTTGCCATCATTTCTTTTTTTTCTGGACTCTTTTCCTTAACGTGAGTTTTAATTCCCCTTTCTTTATTTCTATTCTCTTAATTTTTCTTTTTTTCTTTCTCTTTCTTTCTTTGACTTCTTCTTTAAATTCTTTAAACTTTTGACGTTATACTTTTTTTTCTTTTTCTTTCTTTTTTTTTGTTTGTTTCTTTCTTTCTTACTTTCTGTTTTTCTTTCTTTGTTTTTTTTCTGTCATTGTTTTTTTCTGTTTGTCTCTTCTTCATACAATATGTTTTCTTGTTTTTTACTTTCTTAACATATTTTTTTTTATTTTATTGTTTCTTAATCTCTTTCTTTTCTTTATTTTTTAAAATTCTTCATTCGTCTTTCTTCTTTATTTTTTTTCAATATTCATATTTCTTTTTTCTTTATTTGTCTTTATTGTCGTTTAATTTTTCTCGTTTCTCTCTTGATTTTTTCGTTTGCCTTCTTTCTTTCGCTTTTTTGTTTCTTCATCCCCTCTCTTTATTCCCCTTTCTTTCTTTCTTTCTTCCTTTCTTTCTTTCTTTCTTTCTTAATAATGTCATTTTTGGACCTCCTCACTTCTTATTGCTTTCTTTTATTCCTTAATTCTTTCTTTCTTTCTTATCATTCACTTTCTAAATGCATTGTCTCTCGTTATTTGCTTTTTATTTTATCTTTCTTTCTCTTTTTATCCATTCATTCTTTTATAAGTATTATATTTTTCTTCTTTCGTCATCTTCGCATTCTTCTTCGCCTTTTTTTTTCTTTTTCATTCATTGGTTCATTCTTTTCATTCATTCTCTTTTTTCTTATTTCATTATCATTTCACTTTATTCACCTATTCATTTCTACCTTTCTGAATGAATTTCATTTCGGATACCGCCGCCGCCATTGCCTTCTTCTTCTTCTTCTTCTTCCCCATCCCTCTTCTTCTCCTCCTCCTCCTCCTTCTTTTTTCTCCTCCTCCTCTTCTTCTTCTTCTTCTTCTTCTTCTTCTTCTTCCCTCCACATTCTTCTCCTCTTCTTTTTCTTCTCCTCTCCCCCTCCTCCTCTTCCTTCTTCTTCTTCTTATCATCCTCTTCCTCCTCCTCCCTCTTCTTCTCCTTCTCATCCTCTTCCTCCTCCTTCTTCTTCTTTTTTCTTCTCCTCTTCTGCTCCTTCTTCTTCTTCTTCCCTCCTCATTCTTCTCCTGTTCTTCTTCTTCTCCTCCCCCCTCCTCTTCCTCTTCCTTCTTCTTCTTCTTCTTCTTCTTCTTCTCACTGCCGATATTATACTATTTTACTACGTCATCTTCTGCATTATTTGTTTCCTATATTAATTCTATTTACTATCAGAAAAAAAATACATTCTTTTGATATTATTTTATTTATATTTTATTCATTTTTCTGATCATCATTATTGTTGTTATCGTTGTCTTATTTTTGTTTTTTATTATTATTATTTGTAGTAGTAGTAGTAATATTCTTATTATTTTTCCTAAGGTTGTTTTAATACAAAAACTATATTCTGTCAAATCGCATATTAAGCCCTTATGACGAGCATAAAGCCAATCAGAACAAAAAGAAAACGGCTTTTGCATTTATGACGAATAACTCAACCCGACTCCGTCTCTGACCCAAATATCTCACTAATAGGCGAAAAAGATTTGAACAAAAAGAAGTAGAAATAAATAAACTAGAAAGAGCTCGCGGCAACCAACCGATGAAAATTTCAAACAACTTCTGATCTTCTCAGTTCTTTATGTAAGCGAAGCGCCATGGATACCAGCTGCCATTAAGACTTGTGATGCTTCCGGCAATCGACTTCCGGTAAACGTCCCGTCGCCGACGACAGCGCCATATGCATCAGTAGCAAAAGAAAAGAATTTACAAGAAAATAATGACTAATTAATGTTGAAAGCATTTCATTTAACGAATCTAAAACTGGAATTATTATAATTTTACTAATTTGTTTTCTAATTTTATTTACATCATAAAATAAAAACTATTTACAACTTTTCTTATTGTAATTAAATTGTAGCCATGAGAGTTTTTTTTCTTTATCAATCGATCGAGGCTCGTATATCTCTAATTAGCTTGTGATCGCGTTCTGTCTACATCTGTCTATTTATCTATGCCTGTTCAAATCTCTCTGACTTTTCATATATATATATATATATATATATATATATATGGAGACACTGAAAATTAGTTACTCATGCGTTAGAAATATGGAGAAAATTATATCTTCCCATAATTGTAGAATACTTAGAAACTACCATATAATGAAACTCAAACTAGTAACCCTACCTGCAATTGTAAGAATAAAGACCATTGTTCAATCGGAGGTAAATGTATGTATGAAAATGTAGTATACGAGGCAACAATCTTCCCCGAGGAAAATATAAACGAGAAAAAAAATATGTAGGTATATCCGCCGGTGATTGGAAGCAGCGTCTATACAACCATAGACGCTCTTTTAGATATAGGTACCTCAGAAATCAAACTTCCTTATCCAAACACTACTTGGATCTGGTGGATAAGAGACTAACCCCACTTTTCGAAAGGAGATACTTATCAAGAGCTAAAACCCCTAATAACTTCCGCGATCGGTGTGATCTGTGCATGTCGGAAATTTTTTTTTATTATTAAAGATAAGAATCAAGATGTTTTGATAAATCTTCATAGTGAGATATTTTCTAAATGTAGACATAAGAAACGATTCAAAACATAAATACGGTTTTATAACATGTTGTCACTTGTGTCAGTTTAATCTTGGTTCAATAACATCGGGCATGACATTTTAATGGATTGACTATTATGATTATCTCTATATATATCATTGTGTATGTTTTTGTGATGTGCTATGTATTTAAATTTTTTATTAATTTTTTGATTTTGAGACAATATTTTTTACATTTTACATTTTGATTTATATATAGATATGTATATGTGCGTACATGTGTGTATGTGCATATATATATATATATATATATATACACACGTATATGAATGTATATATATATATAGGTAGATGTAGATGTGTTTATGTGTGTGTGTATGTTTATGTATGTATGTATACACATATATATCTGTATATGGGTGTGTATATATGTATGTATGTATGTATCTATAGTTAGACGGATACATTGCTAAAGGGATACATTGTTTATTTGTTTAGATGAGTGTGTGTATGTAATTGTATGGAGATGTGTAAGGTTTCATGTATATATGTTTATATGCACGTATGTGTATGTCCGTCTGTATATATGCGTGTAAATGTATATATATGTAGGAGTGGATGTGTATATGTATATATATATATATATATATATATAGATAGATAGATAGATAGATAGGTGTATGTGTATGTGTGTACACGCCTATATGTATGTATGTACGTGTAAATATAAATATGTTATTGTGTATGTGTGTATACGCATGTCTTTTTGAACATAAAAATATAGGTCCTTGCTAGATTAGATAATCGTTATATTCTTTTTATATGTTTATATTTGATTTGTAACCTGTAGTCGATATTAATTTTGTCAAATTTTCTTAATTACACAGTGGCCCTTTCTGTAAATGCCATTCAGTTTTAGTTTTCCCCGCCCCATCTCTCTCCCCCACCCCTTTTTCTTTCCTGTTCGTTTCTTTTCCTCTCCCTCTCTCATCTTCTGATCTTTAAGATTATATATTCTATTGTGTGTGTATATCATCACAAAATGTATAATCTTTTCTGGTTATATCTTTAATGTATTAGACATCCGAGAATATTCATATTTCTCTCACTGAAACCGTTTTTGACTCCCCTCTTTAAAACTTCTCTATGTTAAATTTTAATCCCCACTTCATCTTTAGCCTTTCCTTTTCTAGATTCATTATTCCTGTAGATTCTACATTCAACACCATCACCTGACAAGACACCAGAAGTGTTGAAACAAAATTGCTATTTTTGTAGTGATTTTATAACATTTTTATGTTATTATTTTTCTAATAAATGATTATATTTGCTCTACTCTGTATTGAGCACTCTTTTAAGAATAGTATTTGTTAGTTATTAGAATTTATTCCGTATACACCAATCCTATATATATATATATATATAATATTGTATATATATATATATATATATATATATATATATATATATATATATATATAGAGAGAGAGAGAGAGAGAGAGAGAGAGAGAGCTAGGAATATTATTCGATCGATAGATAGATAGATAGATAGATACTTTATATATACAATCTCAATCTAGTCAAATCTAATTTACTCTTCATATATATCCATCGAGTTAGCTCATCTTTATTATCGAAGTCATTTTTACTAACCCATTCTGTCAATATCTATCTATCTATCTATCTATCTTTCATAACTTAACATTTCAATCAACTTATCTCTCAACCGACTCAGATTTATGCGGAACACAGCTCAAGAACAAAGGGTCTAAATGTATTTTTCTTCTATAATTATTTCCATAATATTAGTTCCTTTTATTTTAAAAACTAATACTGTGTAAATAAAAGAAATATCTGTTAAAAAGACATTGTGCATAAAGCCAAAACCCCGTGCGGGACATTATCAAAGTAAAGGTGATGGTTTTATTTTGCCATGTGTATTTATAGAAAGTAAAGTGGAGGAAAAATATCCTTAACGTTCCAAGATTTCAAATTTAAGAATTGTATAGTTACACAGTTAACTTTTAAAACATTTTAGGGCGTCTCTTAATTTCAAATTTACCACAAGTCTCACCAGTAGAGAAGAAGATTCATTAGTAAGAAAGCACATTGATAGTGCACTGATCTCTCAATTCGCACCGATAAGACTAGGTTCATACATAATATTACCGATTATCTCTCTATCTCTCTCACTCTCTCTCTCTCTCTCTATATATATATATATATATATATATATACATGGATTATTCACACAAAAACTAATGCAAAGGATAATGATTTAAATGGCGAGACATCCATCATCGCAAACAATTCAAATAATATACAAAAACCTATTATTGTAGTAAAAATAAGAACTAATACGACAGAAATTTATATAAACAAGGATCATTTCATTCATAACGGATACGGAGGTTTTTGTATATAATTTGAATTGTTTGCGATGATGGATGTCTCGCCATTTAAATCATTAACCTTTGCATTAGCTTTTGTGTGAATAATTCATGTATTTGTAAATTGATTGCACGTTTATCGTAATATATATATATATATATATATATATATATATTGTGTATATATAGGCAGCATATTTTTATTCAAATGGGTTTCGTTAAATAATTTAGACATATGTTGATTAGTTTTTCTTGTTATCCTTTCAAGTTCGTGGATTAATTTTTTGGTAGTCTTAGAAAATTGATTAAGAATAATACCAACATTTTCTTTCGAATCGTTTTTATTTTCTCAAGTACTTTCAGTCTAATTTCAGACCATCTTCTGTGGGTTAAGCTGTCTGTGAATATTTATATCTGTTTCTGTGAATTTAAAATATTTCAACTGTTCGTTTTTTTTTTGTTTTGTTTTTTTGTTTTTTCTTTTACTGCTTATGCAGCGTTCTAGATTACAAAGTTCAAATTCACGTGTACTTTTGGGTTTTTCCTGTATAAGGGAAGTAACTTTTTGTTTTTGCGCATACGTATATAATTTTTTTTATAAGCATTTAAGGACTTTATTATTATACTCATAGTTGACCTCATTTTGGGCTTTAATTCTCTTATATAAAGGGTTTCAAGTATTTTTATTTTTTGCTTATTATTGTTTTTGTGTAATATACATGTATTTTCAACTAATATCTATCTAATCTCTAAGCATATGTCCCTTTAAGTGCTGATGTTTTGAGTTCTGTTTCGCCAAATGAAGTCTTTTTGTTAGCACCGTTGTAGTTTTAAGTTCACAGAAACACATATACATACTCACAGACAACTTGACCACTTGAAGATGGTCTCAGATGAGATTGATTTATTATGTGTGGGAGGCAGCTGAGCGCAAGGCGAACAGAAATCCTTGGAACAGCAAATATAAACTGAAGGCAAGGATTATAGCAGCATCTAGAGGCCGTAGTTGAAGCCAATGACGATTTTATTGAATAAATTTACTCTTTAATATTTCAAGATATTTTTGTCTAACTTTGGTATACATACACAGGCGAGCGCACGCACACACACACACATATGGACTTTATCAATGCAAATGTAAGGATTTGTTTTTTTTTACACGTGTTTATGTACAAAAGCAAGGAAGTCATTGGTTTATCCAAGCTTTTGAATTTGAGAACATTCATGAATATTCATCAGGTGGTTGAAAGATCAGTCAAAATATATGGAGGGCACAAATTGCCATAATTCAAAGTCTGATAAGAAAAAAGTGAGCGAGTAATATTCAAGAAATATTTTATATGAATATATGAATAGTTTTTCCTCTAATCTTTTTATTCATTCGCTCCTTCACAGGTATTCTCTATCTGAAAATAATTTACTATATATATATATATATATATATATATATATATATATAGAGAGAGAGAGAGAGAGAGAGAGAGAGAGAGAGAGAAAGAAAGAAAAAGGATTGACGTTGCATTTAAATATATGAAGATTGTATTTGGCAAGAGGAATGTGCGGTGGATATCAGTTCGGATTGAGAAAACTGAGAGCCGAGTTCGAATTCCAGTTGAATCCATTACATTCACTTACGTGTTAATACCCTAAATGTGTACCGCACATGGCTGAGTTGGCAAGGGAGCAAGAAATCGGAATTGAGTTCCACAGGCGCAAAGTGCGAGAAACTGTTCGAATATTAGAGACGGTTGCATGTAGGTAACTCAACAGTAAAATGGTGAGACCTAGTTATCAATATATTAATCAGAATCACCGCAAGCAATGTACTAGGTGTAGGTGTGGAAGAATTAAAAAAATAAAGAAATAATGATGAGCAGAAACACAAAAGAGTAATAAGGTGGAGAGGGGATAGCGATTGACATTGTATTTACATTTTTAAAGATTAAATTTGAGTGGAAAGCATGGAGCCGGAAGGGAGTTCCACAATTGAGTAGTGCGAAAAGAGATTTTACGAATATATATAGAATATATATATATATATATATATATATATATATATATATATATATATATATATATATATAGAATAAAGATTGCTTAAATTAAGTTCTCTTTGAATTAATGTCCTTCCTTGAATTATCCCTATCAGTTACCAATTGTATATATATATATTTATTTATATACACACATTTTTCATACACACACACACACACACACATATATATATTTCTAAAGAAGTAATAGATTTGTATTTCTTAATCCAGAAAAAATTATTACTTAAACGATATTTTCAATGGATCCACATATTTGAATAGATGCTTCGTGTATTTATTGAATAGTATATTTAGTTATTTTCGTCTACAGGGCTGAATATCCGAGAAATCTTATGAAAGAAAAACATAGATACATAGATAGATTAAATATGATAGACTGAGATAGAAAGATAGATATACAGATAGGTATATATAAAAAGTCTGAGATAGATAGAAAGATATAATCAGACTGAGATAGACAGATAGATATATAGTTAGATATATATAAAAAGGCCGTGATAGATATGAACAGATACATATATAGTTAGATATATATATAAAGTCTGTGATAGATAGATAGATAGTTAGATAGATAGATATAAGCAGACTGAGATAGAAAGGTAGATATATAGGTAGGTATATATAAAAAGTCTAAGATAGATATATAGATAGATAGATGAATATAAGCAGACTGAGATAGGTAGATATATAGGTAGGTATATATAAAAAGTTTGAGATAGATAGATAGATAGATAGATAGATAGATAGATAGATAGATAGATATAAGCAGACTGAGATAGAAAGGTAGATATATATGTAGGCATATATAAAATGTCTAAGATAGATATATAGATAGATAGAGGAATATAAGCAGACTGAGATAGGTAGATATATAGGTAGGTATATATAAAGAGTTTGAGATAGATAGATAGATAGATAGATAGATAGATAGATAGATAGATAGATAGATCTCTGAATATAAATGTGCTGACTGTGGATATATTTCATGTTTGTGGCGAAAGATACATTCAGGACCTGACTACTCGATAATCAAGAAACCAATCAGACGGCAACTGAGAAAGAAAGAGCAATTATTAGACAAGGAAGACGACTAAAGTTGAAGAAGGAAAGCCCGAAAAAGAAATGGGAAAGGAATCACTGGACCATTCCGCGTGTGAAGAATTCTACAAATTACTTGTCAAATCTCTTGCAATATCATTGTCTTCCTTGTCGCAACTGTAGACACGCGGTGATTCTAAAATCGCCAAGCGTGAAAAGGAGAAAGAATTGGGAGAAATGAAACGAATAATGTCTGGCACGAGGCCATTGTATTTGAAAATGAGTTGAAGATTGACGTACCTGGCTCCTGTTCGGAAGAATTACTTGTTGGATATTTCAAGGCGTGTCTTTGTAAACTGATAACTCAAATCCTCCTCTCCTAGGTCATGACAGAACCGAACCCTTTATTAGTCTATGGAAATATGGCACAGTGGATAACAGCGTTGGTTGAAGTAATCCATAAAATGGTCTGATACAAAATGTTGTGAGTTCAATACCTGGCCATAGAAGAGAGAACAAAACATGGAGAGTTGAATTACTAAAAAAATTAACTAAAACTGAGATCTCCCCCCCCAAAAAAAAAATGGCATGGCACATGGAATTATTACAATCTACCCCCGTGGACTGTGTAAAGGATTGTGTTCAAAATTCCAAATTATATTACCTGAAGAAGACTGGAGCGTACAATGGTTGAAACGTCGTGAATATAGCAATAAAGTTCGAATGATATAGGTAGTGTAAATACTTCCTTACTCAGGACAGAACATTTGCTTTCTGACCATGAGACCCGGGTTCGAATTTCACCATGGTCGATTTGTAAGTAAGGTGATTTCCTTATGTTGTCGGTTTGTAGGAGGCGACTCCAGCATGCCCGGCAATCATACCACGGTTTTGACTCAAGCCATGTAAATTCAATTGATTAAACGGAACCCTTGGGAGTGGTCAGAGGTTGTACTAGCGGGAAGTCACAAGTCATTGTGAATGAGTGTTTAAGCGTACTGGTCTTGTTCAGCTTGGTGATCACGCTAGATAACACGCTTTCCTCCCAGAAACTGTAACTAAGGTCTGCTCAGCAGAGTTGCAGTATAAATCACAGGTGTGCTCTCTGGGCGTTGAAGAAACACAAAATGCGCCTGTGCAAGCGTCTGCAGCAGGGATTAGCATGTACCTTCAAATAGAAGTGGTCAGCCATTAACTCAGGCCAGTATAAAATCATGCAG